CCAGCTTCCCTATACTTGTCATCCTTACAAAACTCCTGGAAAATATCAAACATACGATCACTCAGAGCCTCTCCTTTAACCAGCACCTCATCTATTGGTGGTACTACTTTAGATAGCATAAGGACTTGTTGCTAGCCCCTGACTCATGCGCAGTAGAATGAATTGCTGCTCGGTTGGGTGTCATTCTTAAGATAGGCTGTGGATCTGACTGCACTGTGATCCATTGGGTTCTCAGTGGCTAATTTTTGTAAACATCACTGGGCCTTTCTCCTGAGCCCGCCTTCTTCTGGAAGCTCCTCTGAAGCCTGTTCAGTGTATTAGTAATGCTTCAGCCTGGAGGATGGGGTGGGGTGGGGGGTGGGGCTGATGATGAAACCAGCCTTTACCTTGCCAAAGGTGAGAATTCAACACGGGACCCCCACCGCTCCCAACAGCAAGATTCTCATTGCTGTTGATTGCAACTCAACATGTGGGCGACCCCACGTTTTACCACAGAGCAGCCCTTTCTGAGCTGTAACCTTGATGGAAGCAGAGGGCCGGGCCTTTCTCCCCAGGGTACCCTGGGTGGGGTGGCATCTGTGTACAAAGCTCTGGCCCCAGTGTACTTAAATTGCAGCCATCTCTCGCTCAACGACGCACAGCCTCACTGCGTCATGGCTTATTTGCGACAAGGTTGCATTTGAGGCTGTGTCCCCCACCCTCTGATAGAGGTGCTGACTCAGTATACCACAGAAGGGGTGCTCATGGAACAGAATTTGAATCTTGACCTGCGCGAAGTAGTGAGAGAAGAAATCGCACTGAGCAGCACGTGAAAAAGCATTAGAAAAAGTCGGGCAAAGAAGAGCTCCTCCACAAGCCTTGTATGTGATCTCTTAAAAATAAAAATCCTTTTTTTTGTTGTTGTTTTGGTGTCTACAACCCATTCGGGAGAGTGAAGAAGACATAAAGGTGCAGCTTTATTATAAAGTGAACGTCTGTGTAGTCATTGTCCAGGCCAAGCAGTGGAGCATTGCCGGTAAGCAATCATGGTGCCTATGGTACACTGGTTTACTTGAGAGGGATCTCTACCCAGTCTGTGTAACTCCCCCCTAACGACTGGATGGGTCCAGGCAGATTGGACGTGTTTCTTATGGGCCGGGTTAGAGAAGGTGAGGGAAGATGTTGATAGGATTGTATGATTCAGTTGTGAGTGATTGTGAACAGGGTTCATTGTGATTATAAAATCTTTGCCTCTAAGGTGGGGATTGGCTAGTTTTGCTATCCTACTAGGTAGAAAATGAATCTTCTTAAAAGCAGGAGGTGGGAGAGGACTCTCACTATGAGGAAGACTCCAAGATTCCTGTGTGCTTAACCTCCTTGATCCAGCAGACAGAGCGCTTTGACCCCAGATGAGCCGGAGCTCCAGATAATTGTAGGCTTCCCAGCCCCTGGGATGAGTAAAATTCACTGCCTTTGGGCAGGCTTAAAAAACAAACAAACAACAACAACAAAACTTCACTACTTAATTATTAATTCCTAAAATCCCTTAGTAAGGTTTTCTGGAGTTTAAACTTTTATTAACTTTGCTTTCCCCTCTTATGATGGTGTTTATAGCATTTATTCAAACTGCTGTGTCTAGCTGTTGTTCATTCTTTTCCCCTCTGTAGAATATTCTAGCAAATAGAACTGTCATGATATATTTATCCATTCCTTTTGCAGTTCAGTCTTGCTCCATCGCTGATTAAGAACAACTCTCCCCATTAATACCTTTTGTCACCTTCAAACTGACTAACGTAGGCCCAGAAGTATAAATTGCAAATCTAAGAAGCAACGTCACCAGAGATTGATGACAGAAATAAGAGCTATTCTTGGTAGCAGTATCAAAAGACCTTTTTCCCCACCATAAGAGTCACATACAATTATATCAAAGCAGTTACATCAGCACTGAGCAGAGGCTGAAAACCACTTCGCCTCAGTCCTTTCCACACCAAATAAAGCCCAGGAGGTCAGATAGGATGACCACAACACAGCACCTTGATGCTTTTGGATCCTGGAATGCCGGGCGCTCCTGGAGGTCCTGCACACTTACAGAAGGTACAGCAGCAGGTCCTTTCTGCAATGTTACCCTGCATCAAAAGCAAACCTGAGTGAGCTGCAGTTGTCAGGAAGGTCATCACATAAGGAATCTATTCAAAGTCACAAAGCATAATTCACCACCTCCAACCCCATCCTCTCCCTTGGGGGTTGGAGGGAGGCTGAAGAGAATACAGGGAACGGATGCTGCAAGGAGGGCCCTGGATGAGTAACCTTTGGTGGCAATCCCTTCTCCAAAGAAGCAGTCTGTCTTGATAGAGAAGGTACCCTCCACCTGGACAGGTGCAGGCTCAGGTGGCAGAAGACTACTTGGTGTGGGGTGGATGGTGTCTTGGTTCCTGAGATTTTAAAACTAAAATCTATTGGGGGATTTCTTTTTTTTTTATGCGGGCTTGGGTGATGCTTTGTGGTTCCCGCATGCATTCGTCGACTGAGATGACTGAGAATGGAAGGGTATATTCCGTCAAAAACAGGTGCTCTGGACTCCCACAGTTCTTCCGACATCGAGGGTTGGCAAACTTTTGAGACGGAAGACCCAGTTCTGTCCCTCCCAGCAAGTTAAAAAGTATCCAAGAGCCATAAGTATATTTTTAGAAACCAATATCCTTTAAATTAAACTCTGATAGTTGTATTTTCATCTCAATTTTAGTTCAGAGGTGCATGTATGTACCCAAAGTGTCTCACATGGCTCTCAAGCCACAGTGTGCCAGCTGCTGCCCTACACGAAAGACCTGCCATGCCACCGAGAAGAACAAACAAGGACAGTCTTTGAAGATGCCCTCAAAGCTTCCAATGTTGTTCTTATGCGTTTTCTATATAACTGGATTTGTTTTCACCCAACAACCTACCACGTATTTCGATAGCATTTTTCCCAGCGTTGTCATTCCAATGGTCAGGTGAGTCCTGTAATCAAAACCTCTTCCAAATTCGAAGCTTGAGAAATCATCATTGGAAGTTGGATTTAGGGAGACCACCAGCAGAGCATCAAGTCCTAATCAGAAAAAAAAGTGACAGCTATGAAGCCAAAGAGACTGCACAGGATCACAAAGAATGGCCCGTGCCAGTTCCACTCTGTGACCATGATCGGAGGATCAGAACGGAGGGGGCATGTGAGAAGGCAGCACTCCTAACAGAAGAACCCAACAGCCTGCATTTTCTGTGCAAACACAAAATGCTGCTCGCTGACTTGCTCATGAAACCCCCAAGTAAAGGTATTCAAAAGAAAATACTTAAAAATAACAACAGTAAAAAACAAAACGCTATCAAAGACTACTCAAATACCTCAACACCGTTTTC